ATTCTGTCGCAGGTACGCGCCCTCGGCGCCGCCCTGGCCGAGGAGCCCCATCCCTGTCCTGGGGGGCGTGTGCGCGGGGTTTCCCGCCCCCGCCAACGCTCCCTGGAGGTCTCGTCGGAACCTTCCGGTGATCCCGGCCCCAAAGGACAGAGGGTTAGCCTCAGAACTGGTTTCAGTGACCTGGGTCACAATCAAGACGAAGGACGTCGCAGGTACGCGCCCTCGGCGCCGCCCTGGCCGAGGAGCCCCATCCCTGTCCTGGGGGGCGTGTGCGCGGGGTTTCCCGCCCCCGCCAACGCTCCCTGGAGGTCTCGTCGGAACCTTCCGGTGATCCCGGCCCCAAAGGACAGAGGGTTAGCCTCAGAACTGGTTTCAGTGACCTGGGTCACAATCAAGACGAAGGACTCCTCTAGGCATGTGCAGAATAGGCTCCTTTCCCACACTTGAGGTCGCTGGGGGGGGGTGCAAAGAGGTACTTCCAGGCTCACCTGGCTGAGCTCGGTCTGCACGGAGGGCCTGCCCGGGCGGAGGATGGCTTCCGAGGGCGCAGGCGTTCCAGCACCCCTCTTTCTCTGCTGGAACTAGCAGGGTGCTGGCTGCAGGCAAGGGCTAGCCGTGCGGCACCAGCACAGGGCAAGGGGTTGGATTAGAACTCCCTGTCGTTTACCTTTTCCACGGGAAACATTCGTCTGCTGATGACGCCCTTAGAGTCTCCACTACAAACCACTTAGGCCAGTCAGTCTTCAGATGGGAGCCTCCAAGCACCTCGTCCACCAGTTCCTTTGAAACTGGAGCATAGGGCTTCCAAAGGAGGATGTTCACGAGTCTAGCATTTTTTTCAGCGACTGCCCTGTGTGGTGCAGATTTGCTCAGTGTATGTTGTGTTATGTGCCGTTAAGTTACATCTGATTTAGGGCAAATCTAATAGGGCGTTGAAGGTATGTGAGATGTTTAAGGACGGGTTTGACTGTCAGTCCCAACCCACAAGTCTCCACGATGAATCAGGGGCTTAAGCCCAGCTCTCTTCAGTCCTACATCATCACCCTGTCCTCTATATGCCACATTGGCTCTAACTGACAGACTCAGTTAAATTCTGTAGCTGAATAATAAGCTGAAGCTCTTGGTCGAATATTCATAAGCAGTTTTAAATGAGTGAGATTTGAATTTTGTTGGTTTGCTATTCCAAATGTATTATGTGGACCGATGTCCCTCTGAACCTACATTAATGTTGATTATGGATGAAATTAACCATCATCTTCCTATATAATGACTGCTGTTGGAGCTTTCCATTTGTCAGCTTAATGACAGCTTTTCGTTGCCCTCAAAAGGTAATGGGATCTAGGTGTTGGTAAGGTTCAGGGGGCTGGATGAGCAGTGTGGTCATGTTACCAGATAGGCGGGATATAAATAGAATAAATAAATAAAACTGTGTATTCAGGAGTATTGCAGGGTTGTTGTGTAAATGTGGCAAGTTTGCTGATTTTCACCTGGTGTCAGATCCAGTTACAGTTGGACAGATGCAAAAGGACAGGACTCCCTGCAAGATTAGCAGATGTCTAGAAGTGAGTTTTGCAGCTGGTAAAGCATTTCATGCAGATTACATCTCCTTCAACCAGAAAGAAAGAAAGACAGACAGACAGAAAGACAGAAAGAAAGAAAGAAAGAAAGAAAGAAAGAAAGAAAGAAAGAAAGAAAAGGAATACTCAGAAGCCTTGTCCTCATTTGCATCTGCTCACCCTTGTTAAGATAGCATTTTGGTCAAAAGCACATTATGAAGTAAATCTCTTTTGCTTCCAGTTGTTTGTTGTGGTAATAATGCCACAATGCTATGCCTCTTTATCCAGTAGCCAAGTCCCCACTGTACACAGTATAATTTCCTCCCAGGTATGCTAATGCAGTGAAACATGATTCTGAGTTGATACGTATAAGACTGAGCTGTAAAAGTAGACAAATATGTCTGTAACTGTTTGACCCTGTGGCAGTAGCTGTTTTCAGTTAACTTCTGTTTGTTTTCACCTGTGGCTAAAGTCAGCTAAAAATGACAGCTTCCATGAATTCCAACAGTTGTGTAAAACAGCCATAAATACTAAATCAACGCTCATTATTTGAAGCAGCCTGTACAGTGGGAGAGTGGTGCTTTATTTCTGTATTGGTGTGGAAAACTTTCTACATTTATTTATTATGTGCTTGAATTCATATTGGCTGTTCGGCTTAGTCTTCTTTCTATAAACAAGAAGTATCTGGTATCTTCAAATGCAGGCCTGCTCAAATTTAGTACTGAACTGATACAGCATTAGAAGCAAAAGTACAGAAAAAACAAATCAAGTATATTTTATTAGGCTGGCTTCTGAACTAGGAAGCATAGAGCATAACCAAGTTGCATGAAAAGCCAGAAATCGATCAGCCATAGAAAAGTTAAATAAGGGTTACAGATTCAAAGGAACATTTTGGTCTCCTCAGAATGAAAGTTGGCTTAATTTGCAAATTATGAAACACATTGTGTTTTCTGAGGTGGCAGTATTAGACTGCCATTTATAGTCCTGGAACAAATGTGCATAGCATGAATTTTTTGCTACCTGAGTGGCAGACACTGCTGCACATCTCAGTGGCGGAAGCAGACAAAGGGGGCCACACTGCAGACAGCTGCTTGAGCTGAGGCAACATAAAATGGGCACAAGGATAAATACTGAGACGTTGAGGAAGAATAATAAACATGTTTAGGGCTTTCTACATATGTTTCTCAAATAAACTATTCTATGTCACTGTTTTTGATGTCCTTGCCTGATTGCTCACTAAAAATGGTACACCCATCCTCGTTCCTGCCTGGCGTTGCTGGCTAGTCATCTAGCATGTGAATCAATTCAGATGCCAAAGCAAACCACTGTAAACTATGATTAAGGAAGCTCAATACTATAATGGTTTAGTGCAGTGATTCCCAAACATGGGTAACCCTGGTGTTTTTGGACCAGGCCAGCACAGCTGGTGGTGAAGGCCCCTGGGAATTGCAGGCCAAGGGCACTTGGCATACTCAAAGTTAGGAACCACTGGTTTAATGTCATGCCCGATAACGATTATTACTCTGTCACTGGACACGACTAGACTCCAGCAAGCTCTTCTAAACTATGCTTCACATGTACAGTATATGTTAAAGCTCAATGTGGCGTGATGTTTGAACTGAGACTGCATTATCTAAAAGCAAACAGTTCCGGTGTACACTGAAGATGTTTTAGATGTAAACATGAAGCTGTAGGTGTGAATATGGCAATCAGATGTCCTATTTAAGTATTCTCATTGGGGGCCCATTAAGAGCAAATAATGCCCCCCCATTAGAATACTTAAATAGGACATATCAGATAAGATATACAGTACTTGATGATATTGATGGCTTATTGTTTTGTTCTCTTTTGTTTTTTGTTCTTTTTACATTTTTAGCTATCTACTTATCTGTAAATGCACACAGAGTAGGAAACGTGGTTTTGCTATTAAGCAGTGTTTGAGATGGCCTGAAATAATTCTCTCCACAGAGTTTTTCTGAATGAGGTTACCCACCCGTGGAAAAGCTCTGCACATAACCGCACAATAAGGAAAACATGCAGTCAGGCTATTTTTATTTTGCAGTTTGGTGTCTGATTCCAGTGTATGCCCCAAAGGATATTCTCTGGAATTGCATTTACAGTTGCCAGCAAGCTTCTTTGGTGCACCGTTCTCCTTGAGAACTTGAGCGAAGGTTTTGTTTGGTCTGCTTAAGAAGGCACATACATGTACCTCGCATTCTGCCAGGCACGTCTTCTGAACTGATGAATTTTGACTTTACAAATTTGGGGCACTGGCTTTAAATGCCTTGGTGGTTGCCTTCATTGTAGAATTTACCTAATCTAGTGAAGTCCTAGGAACCTTAGTCCCCTAGCAAATTGTCCTGCACAAGCCATGTTGGAAAGAAAAAGGGACAGGCAAAGGAGTACGGTAGTGCTGTGGTGCAACTTGTATTCACATCAGCAAGCCTTGTGCAGGAGAATCATTCCCAATGGGTTATGCACATTATATTTTCATGAGATCATCCTGGAAAGAATGGTTGGAGAATTACAGCCTTTTAATTTCCCCAAACCCTTTAGAGACAGACCAGAGTTGTTTGGGGGTAGGTTGACTAGTTTGGGTTTTGGAGTTGTTGGTTTTTGGGTGGTTGAGGGAAATTACTTTCCCAGATACCCAAAGGGCAGGAAATGTTAAGAGTCAGCAATATTTTAAACCAGCGGCTCTTTCCTTAAGATTCCAGAATGCATGCATGTCTCCCAAGCACTCCACAGAAGCAAACACAAAGCTAGGGGTGGGAAAGAGTGTTTTCAGAACAAACTAACCAGCTTGCATCTTTTCATCTTCCCCTTGACTAGTTGCTAGGTGATTATGACAAGGTGAAAGCGGTGTCAGAAGGCTCCGACTGTCAGTGCAAGTGTGTGGTGAGGCCCCTGGGCAGAGATGCCTGCCAGAGGGTGAATGAAGGTGTTTCGAGACCAGAAGATTTTTATGTGGTGGAAACAATAACTTCTGGACCAGAATGCAAATGTTCATGTGTGGCTCCACCATCTGCTCTGAACCCTTGTGAAGGAGACTTCAGGCTGAAAAAGCTGCGAGAAGCAGACAGCAAAGATTTCAAGGTACTGTATTTGTCTCTGCCTATTGTCATTGTTTTGAAATTGTAGATACAGTTTTGTGTTTTCAACTCCTGAAACAATAGGAAATCTCACTTTTTTCCCCAGGTTTGGTTTACTTTTGAGGAAAGATGTAGGGGGACTCGTGGTTTTACACTAGCACAGTAAAGCTGTGTCCCAGCAGAAGGATTAAAGAAGTGTTTGGGAGTCACCAGGTGCAATGTCCATTCATACTTAAATCAGCAAGTCCTTTTTAGCCACCACTCAGTTCTCATAGAGGATGTGCCTTTTCTGTCAGAAGTTTGGACACAACATTTTTTGAGATGACACCGCTCGGTTCTAGTTCCATAACATCAGATTAGCTTTGAAAAGTATGGCATTTTTTGAGGAATAGCAGGTTGATCATAAAGAGTTGTGGAGGAACCCTGGAAGACAGCTGCGGCGGCTGCTTCCTTGTAGTTTGGCTGCTCAGCAGGTGAGAAACACTCTTGGACTGGGATCGTTCTATTCTCAGCATATGAAATGGCTCTGTACTGAATTGGACCCACTGGATCCCCACCCTTCTAATCAGCAGCCACTTGTAAGTTTGAGAGGCTGGAGGGCAAAGCTGGGAGCCTTCTGCATGCAGAGCAAGTGCGGTAAGACCATGCCAAGGGCCCTTTCAGGGAAGCTGGGAAGCTGTGATGTGGATTCTGGTGCTCGTTGGTGCACTTTAACAGTAGTCATTAAAATGGAAATCTGTTGCTTCTTTAAGAATTAGGGATATTTCCAAATTCAGCTTTAGATCCTGAAGGTAAGCTTTTTTCTTTCCTTTGATGACTTAGAACTCTTCAGGATAATCTGTTGGCCGCATTCCAGCTGTGAGTAGGGTGAGAGCAAACGTAGGGAGGGGCCCACTTTTCCTCACTGGGTGAACTGGTGGGAGTGTATGATATCTTTCTTGCCAGCAGTGTGGAGGATGCGGAGGACTTTTGAATAAATGCATCCAATGTAATTAAACCAGCAGACTGGGGTGCCTCAACTGAAAAGGACCTTGGTTTGGTTACCATCAGCCTCATCGCCAAAAGAGAAAGGGTCTGGAGAAACACTTGAAAAGCTGATGCCCTTGGATTCTCAGAATTTAATATGTGAAATCAATTGTTCTAAGGCCTTTCTGGAATCGGTGATTATAGGGATGGAACCGCTGAAGCACAGTGACCCCAATCCTCATCCCAGACAAATGTCACACTATCCCTTTCCTTCTGCCAGCAAAGAACATGCGTCAGGGTGATCCTGTTTGGTTCAGTGTCAAAAACAGCTCAGGATTGTTGTAAGGAAAGCTTAATTTAAGCGGAACACAGAAATAACTAGCTTTCAGAAAGCACTAGTAAATCCCTAGTGTTGTTAATGATTATGAAATAGTTTTCAGTAGTTCAGTTCTGCGTGGGTGTACCTTCTGCTTTAGGAGCATTTGTCTTTCACCAACTGGGAGAAGAAATCTTTGCTAAAACAGAGCTTGTGATGTTCCTGCACTCTTTACAGCAGAGCCCTACTGCACATTTTGCACTTATTTCTTGTGTGAAGCAATATTGCTGAGGGAAGCTGTGTACGTGGCAGCATGTGGTAGATGTGTGATGAGCTGCAGGGGGTGAAGGAACAGAGGAATGTTCCCGAAAAATTGGTTCATTCTCAGGGCATGTTGCCCTTCCCAGCTGGAAATAAAGTCTCAATTGGAAAACAACAATTAGTCTTTGGATATTGCCAATTTCCAAATATTAAGCTATATAGCAAAACTCTTGTTTTGTGTCCTGCTTTACAGCTAATTACATGCATTTTCTCAACAACTCCTCTGGGAAGCCTGTGCGTGCTTAGCAGTGCTTTGCTGGATCATACCGGTGTACCAATCTAGAGGACAGTCGGCACTAGAAACCAACCAGACATCTCTGGGAAAACCCATATGTATAGCTTGATAGCCACAAAGTCACTTCTGGTTATCCTTTGTGTTTGATATTTGAAGATCTGCAAGCCATAGATAACAGAGGTTTTGTTTCATTCCTTGATTTCCTTGTTTACAGTCTAGTTGCAACCACCTTGAGGCCAGCTTGTGTGATTGTTTGGACGATTTCCAACATTTGCTTGTCCTTGTCCTCCAGAGAAGAGAGCACCAAACCCAAATTGCAGGAAGACAGCAACTTCGTTTGTTCTAGTAATTGTTGTTTTGCTTTACTTTCTGCTTTACAAGGATTTTGGCATCCCAAAATACAAAGTGGAGACAATTGTTATAGTTTCTTACAACACTGCTTCTGAAAAACTTGGAACTTGATCTTTCACCCATCACTGCCTAGGGAAGGTCAAATGAACTATAATCCAGGTAACAGCCTGGTTGGCAGCACCTCCTTTGTTCTCAGACTGACCTGATGACAAGTAGCTAACTCTGTATACATGAGAACCACCTGGTGCAAAAGAAGAATACTACAGATGTGGGAAAACTTGACACTATGCCCTTTTCTCTGTATTTTACAGTTAGAATCATTGAGTCCAACTGCCTGCCTATAATCCTAGAATAATGGAAGGGACCTGTAAGGTCATTGAGTCCAACTGCCTGCTCAGTGCAGGAATCCAAATAAAGGTATATCTGACAGATGGCTGTCTAACTTTTCTTTTGAATGCTCCCAATGTAGGAGTGCTCACCAGTTCCTGAGGTAATCTTTTGAATGCCCCCAGTGTAGGAGTGCTCACCAGTTCCTGAGGTAATTTGTTTCATTGTCGTACTGGTCTGACAGTTATGGCTTTTCCCCGGATAAAGGCCTAAATCTGGCTTCCTGTCGCTTGAGCCCATTGATATATGTCATGCAGTCTGGGATGATTGAGAACAGATTCCTTCCTCTGTATGACTACCTTTCAAGTGTGTGAAAAGTGCTACCTCAGTCTTATTTTCTCAAGGATAAACATCTTTCAAGTGTGTGAAAAAGTGCTACCTCAGTCTTATTTTCTTAAGGATAAACATGCCCAGTTGTTTCAGTCCTCCCTTATAAGGCTTGGTTTCCACTCCCCTGATCATCTTAATTGCCCTCATCTGAACTTGCTCCAGTTTGTTGGCATCCTTCCTAATGTGTGGTGTCCAGAACCGGACACATTACTCTAGATGAGGCCTAACTGGATAGAGGGGAACTAGTACCTCATGGGATTTGGAGAGTATACTTCTGTGAATGAATCCTAAAATAGCATTTGCCCTTTTTTACAACCTCCAGCATAGGAGTGCTCACCATTTCCTGAGGTAATTGTTTTACTGCTTCTAACAGTCTGGAAATTTTTCTTGCTAATCAGCTGAAATCTTGCTTCTGATAACTTGAGCCCATTATTACATGTCCTGTACTCTGGAGTGAATGAAAACAGAGCATCCTCTGTAGGACAATATTTCAAGTATTTGAAAAGTACTATCATATCTTCCTTCACTCTTCTTTTCTCAAGGCTAAATATGACCACTTCTTTCAGTCCTTCCTCATAGGTATTCATAATGGGGAACTGATACTTCATGTGATTATTGAATATTTCTGTTAACGCAGGCTAAAATTGGCCATTTTTCCAACCACATCACACTGTTAGCTCATATTCAGCTTGTGATCTAGAACAATTCCAGGATCTTTCTCACATATAATGTTACTGAGCCAAGTAATCCTGTAACCGCACATTTGGTTTCTTTTTCCTAGGTGCAGACTTTCGCACTTCTCACTGTTCAGTTTCATTCTACTGAGCCTATCAAGTTCTTTTTGAATTTGCTTCTATCTTCCACCATATTAGTTATTCCATGCAATTTTGTATCATCCACAAAGTTGAAAAGCATTCCCTGCATTCCCTCTCCCAAGTCATAAATAAAAATGTTGAAGAGTACTGCCCAGGACTGAGCTTGTGGTACCACATTGTTGCCTCTTCTCAGTCATAGAAGAAGCCATTGATGAGCACTCTCCGAGTATGATTCTTCAAGCAAATAGGTATCCACCTGATAGTTTCTCCATCTACCCCACACCCAGTGAGTTTGCTAATCAGAACATCATGCGGCACTTTGTCCAATGCTTTATTGAAATCAAGATATATTACATCTCTAGCATTCCCTTTGTCCACCAGGGAGATTACTGATAAAAACATGAGAAAAAAATTAATCTGGCAGGACTTTTTCTTGATAAATCCATGTTGGCTTCTAGTTACCACTGCATTGTTTTCAAGGTGCTTGCAAAGTGTCTATTTTATAATGCGCCCCAGAATTTTCCGTATGATTGATGTCAGGCTATTGGTCTATAGTTCCCAGGTTCCTCTATTTTGCCCTTTTTGAAGATAGGGACCTTATTAGTCCACCTCCAATTATCTGGCACTCATCCTCCACCATTTAAATAAAATAATAGAGGTTATGAGAGTGTTTTAGTTCCTTCATTACTCTTAGATGCAGCTTATCAGGCCTTGCAGATGTGAATTTGTTCAAAGTAATAAGGTATTCCTTTATAATTTGTTTCTCAATCTCAAGCTGCAATCCTGTCCCCTCCCCTTGTATTTCACATTTGTTGGGAGGGTTGTAGACTATCTTTTGGGGGAAAACTGAGTTAAAGAATTGAACACTTCTGCTTTTTCTTTGTCATCTCTTACCATTTTTCCATCCCCACCGAGTAGCTGAGCTGCTATTTCTTTTCTGTCTTTTGCTACAGCTACATCTGAAGAGTGCTTTTTTTTTGTTGCTTTTAGCATCTCTTGCTAACCTCAGCTCATTCTCAGCTTTTGCTTTCCTAACACCATCACTACAATTCTTTGCTCTTTATCTATACTCTTTCTTTGTGGCCTGGCCTTCCTTCTACTTCCTATACGTGTCCTTTTTTTATTTTCAGCTCCTCTATGAGCTTTTTGTAAAGCCACATTGATCTTGTTCTGCTGTTTCCACCTTTTTTTCTTGTTGGAATTGTTTGTAGTTCTGCCTTTAGACTTTCCTTTTTAAGAAACTTCCACCCACTTTGGCTTCCTTCTCCTATTAGGATCTCCTG